TATTATACCATCGCTATAATAATATTCAATTACTATTTACGAAACACGTAGAAGTATTTCTTAACCAACGCAACGTCGACAAACAATCATCATCTGAGCTTAAGCGCCTGCATGACACTACCGTGGAGTGTATCCATGCTATCCACAATTTGGGCGTGGATACTGCTTCATGGGATCCCCTTATTGTTCATCTCTTGCTGAAGAAATTGGATCCTGTAACGAGAAGTGAATACAAAGAGTCGCGGAAGGCGCCCCGTGATCTTCCCGAATTGGAGGAATTTACTTCATTTTTAGAAACCAAATTTATAGCACTTGAGCCCATACAGAAAAAAGAAAGAGATGACTGGTTGTCGCCGAAGCTATCAACGCCACATAACGCGAAAGAAAAACTGACATACAATGGCAATAGATCGTCATATTATATGAAGGCTATGAATACAACTACAGCCAAGCCACGCTGTATTTTATGCAACAGCAATGATCATATGTTATATCAATGCCATAAATTTGAAAATTTAGCTTCTGACGCTAAACTGCAAGTAATAACCAAAAATCAAATATGTAAAAATTGTTTATACTTCCACGAGCGGAATGTATGTCGATCAAATAAGCGATGCAAAACGTGCAATGGATTGCACAATACTTTGCTGCATGATGCGATGCATGACACAAAAACGAACGGATGGACTTCGCCACCAAAACCTCAACATCAGCGCATGGCAAACAACGTGACAAATAAAAATGACGAAATTTTATTGGCTACCGTGCAGATTCAAGTACGTGCTATAGACAATACATACATAAAATTGAGAGCACTTTTAGATCAGGGTCCACAAGCCACCCTTATAACTGAAAATGCCGCTCAGCGCCTTGGCCTTCCCCGTCAACATGTGAACACAGCAATATTAGGAGTGGGTGATTCGGCGAAAAAAAGGCAAAGGAAAAATACAACTGCACTGCATGTCTATTCATGACAATTATAATTTTACTGCGGAAGCAATGATATTGACAAAACTTATAAACAATTTACCTCATTCAACATTTAAGAAAAATTATAATCATATCGAACATATACAGCTCGCCGATCCTAGCTATAACGTTTCAAAACAAATTGACATTTTGCTAGGTGCAAACATTTACTCACGAATAATAATGAGCGGGTTGATCAAAGGATCTGAAAATCAGCCAATCGCTCAACAGACAAAATTAGGGTGGATTTTGTCTGGACCAGTACAGTCACCGCTTCAATGCAGCGTAGTGATCAATAACATTGAAGATATCTCTGCATATTGGGAGGTGGAAGAAATAGCGAATGCCTCTATCACAATGACTAGAGAAGAGCAGTTTTGCGAAGAATTATACGTCAATAACACAAGGCGTCTACCAGATGGAAGATACGAAGTCCGTCTGCCCTTAAAGAATAATTTTGAAAATGAGCTCGGCCAATCTAAAGCCCGGGCAGCAGCACAATTTAAACAGTTGGAATCACGTCTAATGAAAAAGCCACATCTGCGTGACAGCTATCAAAAATTTATGCACGAATACGAAGATTTAGGGCACATGATAGAATGCAAGGAGCGCAAAGAGCCTATGTGTTACTTGCCACATCATGGTGTATATCGAGAGGAGTCTACCACTACTAAACTTCGTGCAGTTTTTAATGCTTCCTCGCCAACATCTACGGGAAAAAGCCTCAATGATCTCATGGAGTGTGACCCAAAACTACAGAAAGACATACAAGATCTTTTACTTAGATGGCGTATTTACCAATACGTATACACTGCAGACTGTGAAAAAATGTATAGGTGTATACTTCTACAAGAAGATCAGCAACATTTGCAAAAAATCTTATGGAGAGATAATCCACAAGACAGGCTGAAAGAATATCAATTATGTACAATTACATATGGCATGAAAGCTGCGCCGTTCTTAGCTATGCGCACTATGCAACAATTAGCAAGTGATGACAAAGAGAAATACCCATTGGCTGCTGAAGTGTTGCAACGCCAGTTTTATGTCGACGATTTGCTCGGAGGGAACCACTCTCTCTCGGATGCAAAAGAAGTTCAACAACAATTAATAAAAATGTTCCAAGGTGCGAAAATAAACTTGAGAAAATGGTCAAGTAACTGTGCAGAACTGTTGTCGGAACTATCAGCTGATCAAATCAACCCGACAACAATGGATTTTAAAAATGCAAACTCAACGAAGGCGCTCGGGTTACAATGGAGCCCCGCCACTGACATGTTTACTTTCCGTCCAATTGACAATAACAAAACAAAGACAACCAAGCGAACACTTTTATCACAAATCTCCAAAATATTTGACCCATTGGGGTGGCTATCTCCACTCTCAATAAGAGCCAAATTATTATTCCAAAAACTTTGGTTAGTGACAATGGAGTGGGATGATGAAGTTCCATGTGACATTTTGAAAAAATGGAACAAACTCAGTGATGACTTGCAGAATGTTGACAAATTTCAAATCCCAAGATGGATTGGTAATATTCACGCATCAATAGAGATACACGGATTCTGTGATGCGTCCGAACAAGCTTACGCAGCAGTGATTTACATAAAAACCACAAATGACATGAACGAATCAATTGTTAGAATATTCTGCTCTAAAACAAAACTTGCACCACGGAAGAATACTTTGACATTACCACGATTAGAAATGTGTGGCGCTCTCCTGTTATCAAAACTAATGCAGAAAGTTTTGAAAGCGTTTCCACACACTGACATTCCAATATACGGATGGACGGATTCCTTAGTCGTACTGGGTTGGCTTCAAGGACAGCCGTCTCGTTGGAAGGCGTTTGTTGCTAACCGTACAAAAGAAATCCTTGACATTATGCCAGTTTCGTGCTGGCGACATGTGAGCTCAAATGACAATGCAGCTGATTGCGCAACTCGAGGCCTTACCACTTCTCAGTTGACAGAACATACGCTCTGGTGGGAAGGACCTGCGTGGATCAAGAAACCAATTTCCAAAAATGACACTCATACGATTAACATGCCTCAGATTGAGATGAAAAACGAGCCCCAAATATGCGCGACAATGGTCGAAACTACTGACATTATTGAAGAATTATTACATAAACATCACTCGATTATGCATATAGTAAGAGTGATTGCCCGAATCTCACGTTTCATAAACATTGTGCATCACCGCGTGTCGTCGCGATTACAATCGTCAAGACCGCAACATGACACCGAGGGCATTAGCCGCGATGCACCTGACAATACGAATTACATAACAGCGAGTGAAATAAATAATGCATTGATAATAGTAATTCGTGTGATACAAACTAAAGAGTTCCGATCGTATATTTCGGAATTAAAAAGAAAAGGTGTTGTCATGGCGAAAAGTAATTTACTACAATTGCAACCCTTTTTGGATGAAAATAATCTGTTGCGGGTGGGAGGACGTCTACGTCATTCAAAACTCAACGAGAACACAAAGTATCCTATAATTATACCCAAGGATTCCAGATTGACAGAATTATTGATAAATCAAGCTCATTTAAAGACGCTACATGGTGGTCCTACACTTACTTTGACATGTTTGAGGCAAAATTACTGGGTGTTAGGAGGAAGTCGCACAGTTAAGAAATACATAAGAAACTGTGTCAGATGTACTCGATTTAATCATCGTACCCAGTCCCAACTGATGGCAGACTTACCAGAACCAAGAGTGACGCCCTCCCGGCCTTTCACACACGCCGGAGTTGACTTCACGGGACAAGTAGAATTGAAAGCAAATAAAGGACGAGGAATTAAGACTACCCGAGGCTACATCGCAGTTTTTGTGTGTTTTGCAACCAAGGCAATACACTTAGAGCTAGTATCCGACCTTAGCACACCTGCATTCCTTGCCGCCTTCAAGCGGATGTGTGCGAGAAGAGGTACACCAAAGCACGTATATAGTGATAACGGCACTAATTTCGTTGGTGCATCACGAGCTTTAAAGATAGAATACAAAGAGGTTCTACAAACTATCACTAAAGAATTCCTGGCTGACATATCTACCATGGGTGTTACTTGGCACTTAAATGCTCCAGTATGGCCTAGTGCTGGTGGTCTCTGGGAAGCAGCAGTCAAGAGCACTAAACATCATCTGAAACGTGTATTAGGTGAACAAAAGCTGACATACGAGGAATTTTCTACGTTACTGACTCAAATTGAAGCATGCCTCAATTCCAGGCCGCTGTATGCGTTAACAGAGAATCCAGAAGACGATTACTTAACCCCAGGGCATTTCCTGGTTGGAGGTCCACTATTGTCACCTCCCATGACAGACATAAATGACAAGTGCATAAAAACAAGATGGCAACTGATAGAAAGAATGAATCGCGACTTTTGGAAGAAATGGTCATCAGATTATCTGCAACATCTTCAAAAAAGATACAAATGGAATTATCCAAAGTGCAATTTGAAGATTAATGACATTGTTCTTATAAAAGAAGAAAATATGCCACCAACAAAATGGGCGTTAGGACGAGTGACAGAAGTACACCCCGGCACAGACGGACACGTTAGGGTAGTAACCCTGAAAACGAAAGGCGGTCATCTTAAACGGCCAATTATTAAACTTGTACCACTGCCGGTCAATACTCAATCAGACATTGACAAACCACAACCAGCCTCCACCAGATGTATAAAGAAGAACAATCGCATGTGCAACTTACTTCTCATGACAATGACAATTTTACTGACATTTTTTACTCCTATACAAGGAAGAATGACAACCATAAAGAGTCTTGACAATAACAACACCCTGTATTTTGACAAGATTGCAGATACCCGTATTATCCAGGATCACTGGAAGATGGTTGTGTATTATAATATGAGTACATATTGGGAAAGCATGACAGCAGTGAAAAACTATATTAAAACAGTGACCGCAAACTGCAATCATGACAGCTCGTGTTCACCTGTAATTGCGCAATTCAATCATGAACTCAGCGAAATACGTCACTATAATGAATTATTGACAAACTATGAACATCTTTCACGTAGAAAAAAGAGAGGATTCTTCAATGGAGTTGGAAATTTAGCAAACGCTTTATTTGGAGTATTGGATGACAATTTTGCTCAAAAATATGAAAAAGACATTGAAACTGTACGTCGGAGAGAAGATCATTTACTCACTCTGTTCAAAAATCAAACTTCGTTAGTCGAAGCTCAGAACAACATACTCAAACGAAACGAACAGTTAATGAACACCCAATTCGATTATATCTACAAGCATCTGAAAGTTATAACTTCCGAAATGAATGGAATACAAAAGGCGAACCAAAATACTTTACAAGCATTTCATATTATGTCATCATTGATATCAGTTAATGTTATATTGACTAACATTCGCCGAATTCAAGATTCATTATTAGAAATGGTTACTGACATTTACCATAGTCGTCTGAATATTCATATGTTGGAACCAGAGCAACTACAACAAGAGTTAAACACCATATCAGCACAATTGCAAAGTGACCTAGTCTTGCCAACTGACAATATACGAGATTTATATGGTCTCCTGCACGTGAAAGCAAGAGTGACTAGAAACTTACTGATCATCGAAATAAATATACCTCTTTTAAACCGCGATTCCTTCGAGTTAAACAAGATTATTGACATGCCTCAAAGAAAACAGGGAAGCGTTGTTTATACAACCACCGCAACAAAATATTTAGCGGTGAATGTTAAAAAAGATACGCTAATACCTATGACAGAAAATGACATGCAACACTGCATCCATCACACTGATCAACAGATGTTTTGCCCGGTGAATCAGCCCATATATTCAATGACCATGGGGCAATCCCTGTGCGACTTACAAATGCAAATAAATAATGAAAATAAACCATATTGCACACCTGTCGCAAACAAATGTGCTGATAGGTGGATCAAATTGCACGCACGCGACACATGGCTATACTCATGTTGCATCGAATGCCGCGTTCGAATCATATGTTCGTCGGAAATAACAACTAAACAATTACGAGGCAATGGACTATTAAGCCCGGAACCGGGATGTGTGATTAAAGGAGATAAGTTTTTGATATATTCTCAGCATGATTATATCAATCAAGTAAATATACGTCCCACTGTTGCCCTTGACATGCAAGACACTCAGTTATCATTGAACGAAATCATGAATATATCATTACCTGACAATTTTGTTCCTGAAAACCATGAAAAAACATTTGAAGAAATCCAACAGAAGATTGACATCATGAAGCAACAACAACTAGAACAGTTTACCAACAGCAATAACACGCACTACATTATTATCTACACAAGCATCATTGGATTAGTATTATCATTACTTGGGATCTTAGGATGCTACATAAAATCTAAGCGATGCAACCTGCAAGAAAGAGCGCCCGCGCAACATAGTTCTACCCATCTCTCTGCGATGGATGAGACGTCACTCACTGACGTAATAGTCACTGCGCCACGCTCTATGTTGCCGTCCGGAAGAATGACTAGCGCATTGAGAGGTTCCATGGCGAGTGTGGACACCGGTACCTCGCCAACGATGCCGAAGAAAATTCACTTCGATTTAAATAATTCTACAAACCTAGTTAATTAATATTTTTGTTGCTCTTAATTTGTTTTTATATTAAATTTTTAAGTTGACAATTTATAGTGACATGTAAGTGAAATATTTAAGAACAGTTTTTATATTTTAAGTTGAAATATTTAAAAATTTTACATTGTTAATTTATAGGATTTATATTTTGCATATTTACAATTTTTAATGACATTTTTACTTTATTTCTTCCTTGTGTGTCGGGAGTATGTACGGGTCAACGTACATTATTGTGCAACTGACAATATGCAACGTCGCACCCTACATTGTGCACGTGCAATATGTATAAATTATAATTTTCAGTACAATAAAGTTACTCCGTGGTATCGGTCGAGTATTATTTCTACAGCATCTTTGACATCTCCCTGCATCATCTCGCTGATATCACCTGACATATTCTGACATATTACTGTACGAGACAAGCAGCTCGTACAGCATTAAATATAATTTTACTTTCCACTCTTAAACCTGAGCAGATTTGTCTGAATGTTGCTTTTTTTTTTACATAACCTAACGTGACCATACGTTTCGCTCAAAACGGGACAGTCCTGATTTAAGTTTCGTGTCCCGCTGTTACCAAAATGCTTTAACGAAACAAGACACATGTCACAATCAATTTTAAATCAAGTTTGTATTTTTTTCTACCGCGAAAATTTTTAGAAATCGTGTTTTGACACTGTATACTAATCAGTATATAGCCTCAATTTCGCTGAATATTTTTTCAACAATTTCAAATCATCAAATTTATGCGGAATCAACCAAAGCCATTTGAGGTTGTATAAACTGTTAGTATTCAAAATTTCTTATGTGCGTTTTACAACGAAGAAACATAAAATTGAGTCGAAAATAGTTTGTGTCGATACATTAACACACACCTATGAAATTACCGGAAACAGTTCCTAATATGCAAGAAATGACAAACCTCTACAAGAACATACATACATATATACAGATCACAACACTGGTAGTCATTGAATTTTATTATCAAGAAGTGGGTTCGTTTGACATTACTAATAAATATTTATATGACGACCTCGGTAGCCTAGCGGTTTGCATTGTGGGCGTTGAACGTCGTAAGTTCGATTTCCGGTAGGACCAATTTGGGAAGTTTTCTATATTGGTTCTGATCTGGGATTGGTACAGAGAATGTTTAAAAATTTGTTTGCTAACCTGCAAGTATGAAAGGCAACAACTTCACTATTGTCATTTTTCACCAAATATATTTGCTCTAAAACACTATAATCATTATATTTTCCGCTTTAAAACAAAACATGAAGCCTGTATTCTATAGAACCAGCCACAATTACAAAAACGAAATACCACGTAAGTAAAACTATTGAATATCCCTTACTTAGACACCAACTAATAGCTTGAAACTACGTCTTACTAAAATAAGGTGTGAAATCGATAGTATTAAATCGAAACAAAGGTAGCAATGGCTGAATTCAATTTCCATATTATGTATTTGCATGATTTGTTACAAATCGTTGGTGTACTACCTACGAGACGTAAAACATGAAGTGGGATATTGAATACACTTTCGTGGTACTTTGTTTTAGTAATCATTGTCCGATGGATTGGACTGACTAAGTTTAATTTTATAACAAAATACCCAATGGTAATAGTGATTTGGCACTAAAGTACTTGGTGAAAAATGTCAATAGTGAAATTGTTCCCTTTTATATTAGTAGGTTAGTAAGTACAATATTTATTAATGATATCATGGAAAGCCACTTTATAAAATACAATTTAATAATCTCAGTACAGAGTACTAAAAAAACCGACCTCTAAAGTACGTGGAAGTGCATATAATTACCAAGTTTTATTGAAATCTGGTACCGGAAAGTGCTTCATGCGTGAACAGCCACCCTTAGCGGTGAATGATTTTCTTCAAAATTGAATGGGACCACTATGGAGGTACCCTCTTTTCCGGTCCACAAATACCGGAGCTATCGCGTAACATACTAAATCAATAAATCAAGCGAATAAGGATCAATTTTTCTCGAAATACACAATGTTTATTTTATCGTATAAACGTAATTATTTCTTCATATCTATAATCATATATATTTCTTTTTCAAACCACTAAAGTTTTCCAATACTTTACAAAGTGTCTACTTTCATTCCCCGTCCGACATCGATATCCGTCCCAAACAATTACAGTCAAATAAGTAACACTCGGCCATATCAAAAGATAATGATCACATATGAAGGTATATTAGCATCATGCGTCTTTTGATATTGTCGAGTATTACTTATTTTACAGTATTTGTTTTGGACGGATGTCAGACGTCGATATAGATCCTGCAAAGTACCAGTAACATGGTTTGTTTGAAAAACAAATATAATATTTCCGTTAATGGCAATCCAATAGCAAAAACTTAAGGACTCTATATTTTGTTAGGAAGTATATGTTTTCTACAACAAGGAACAATTATGTATATTTTCCACGCATCTGACTGTACCAAACAAGTCAAGTTGCTGACAACACATGTTTCCTGTTGAATTCCAGGTATAACGTCAATTAATTCACCTCACCTATATTCTGGTACATATTATGTGGTAGTGATAGACGCCGGCTCCACCGGTTCCAGGGTACATGCTTACAAATTTTCTCTGCCTAGAAGCAGACTTAAACGAGGTAAGTGCCTCAAATGAGACCGACACAACAATGCCTTAAAAATCCCTTGCCCAAGTTACGACGTTCAGGGAGTAGTCTCCAGACTGGGGATTCCACTACAAAGTCGTTCGTCATATAAATATATAAATATAAATTCATATAAGTTCTTGAAACACTCACAACTTAGGGATGGCCACACACCACAGCCTACGTATAGTCCTCGGGTGATGGACAGCGAAACGCAATTAAATCGAGCAATTTCATCGCACACTCAGGGTGATCCATCCTGTAGAATATCTATAAGAAAGTAACTTTACAGCATGTTCAAGGTTTTGCAGCTTCGCTTCTTGCACATCCGAGTCACGCCTCTCGGCACGCTTTTCAACTGAACCCAAGATGGTCAATTAGTATTTAGCAGCGCCATCCCAAAGGTGGCAGCAGTACGTCATACACGACTGGACTTGTACTAGGTACAGCTACAGCCACTGTCACGGTGTGAAATGCCCTGGAATGCCAAGCTTCCTTGCTGAATTTTTTGTTTATAAACTCAATATACCTGCCAAACTTTTCCAAGTAGCGTTTTGTGGAGAATAGACACATTAAATTCAAGATAAAAGAAAAGAGCAGTATCTCCCCAATCGGAGACTGCCTTAAGTGTCAAATCCAAACAACTAACCATGGACTCTCGACAAGACTGGATTTCTTCTCCACTGATCTTTGCATTGGTCAAGTATATCTATCGACAACTTTGCTGTCACCATCATACCCGGAGGTAACTGGAATTAACAAATTATTGATATGTAGAAGAAAGAGAGTTGCGGTCAGTATGGAACCCTGAGGAACGCTGCATGTAACGCTCAACGTTCTAAGACTACTCGAATCGCACATGCGCCGACCATGATCCAATTGCAAGAGTTAGTGGGAAACCCATAAGAGAAAAGTTTGCTTAAAAGACTTGCATAGCAGACCCTGTCAAAGGCTTTAGAAATGTCCAAAGATACTGCAAGGGTTTCGCCTTGCCCTTTTATGGCCTCGTTCCAGAACTGAGAGGCATACACAATAAGATCCCGTGTGGATAGCACCTCGTCGGAATTCGTATTGGCGATCACTGAGAAGATCATTGTCTTCAAAGTGCCGTACTTTGAAGACAATGATCTCCTCAGGAGACGGTTGTTAGTTACACATTCCATAGTTTTGCAAAGTAGAAGTGACTGAGATGTTTAGGCACAGGTCCCAGGACCTAAAAACTGTCACAGTCTTAAATGAAAGGCGATAAAAATAAAAACATGCAATACTTAGTTATTGCAATTTTGAATACATTAACAATCCTATAATTAAGTCACTAAAAAAAAGTTAGTTAAGAAAATGGGAAATAAAAACACTACACTTCAAACAAATTTCAAAAAATCGAAGTTTTTATGGATATAATGTCGTCCCTTCAAAACAAAATGTATGGGAACTATTAGAATAATGCTGTTAATGTCAAAGAAGTACAAATTGAATATAATATAATAATATTTATCACATCCGTGTACGTATGTTTTACAATAAAACATCTTTGAAATGATAGGCTTGTCTAAAATCTTTAAAAAAACTGTTACAATTGTTAGAGCTCAGAACCTATATTAGTAATATTTTTCCAGATTCGGTCCGAAAATTACGATTCGAGGATGAGCTATATGTTGCCAGAAAACCTGGACTTTCATCTTACGCCAGCAATCCAAAGAAAGGCGCGGAGTCTATTATCGAATTGATACAAAAAGCAGATTCCTTTGTGCCGAAGCATATGAGAGCGAAAACACCTTTAATTGTTCGTGCGACGGCTGGTTTAAGAGCATTGCCTGAAGCTGTATCAGCAAACCTATTAATGCAAATTCGTGTTGCTATAGCTAAGTGAGTCTGCACTAAGATGCGTACAGATTTGCTCGATTTTTAACGATCGACGCGTATGATCAAACAAAATGAGTAAATGTGTAAGTAACACATGATCGACATCGTATTTTTCGCCGACCAACACATGTGATCAGATAAAATCGAGTAAATGAGTAAGAAACGACGATCGTTATTGTCGCTCGACCAAATTGATCTCTCTGAATGATCAGACAGCTCGATTTTGGCGATTACTATTGGCGCTCAATATGCTTGCTCTGTTTCATCAAACGATCAATAAGATCAGTCAACTAACAGCTTGCCTCGATTTTATCGATCGTTACTGTCGCCTGTTAACTATCGATAAATATCAGGGTTAAAATCGAACAAATTTGACGGTTCCTATACCAAATTCACAGTTTCACGTCTAAAAAAAGAGCTGACGACCATAAGTTGCTCACACATTTACTTTCTTCGATTACGTCTGATCGTACGAGTTGTTCGACAAAAAATGCGATGTCGATGATCTGTTACTTACACATTTACTCGATTTTATCAGAACACGCGTATTGAACTACCTAGTCATATTTTTTTATCACACGTGTCGATCATCAAAAAATCGAGCAAATCTTAGGCATCTTTACACTTCACAGAAGTCATATGCAGCAACGCGTTTAACTGCAAATCTTTTTTGAAATGCAATTGTAATTGTTAATAAAATAATGTTTTTTTTTCAGTCTAGGCTATAAGATAAACGACAATAGCGTCAATATATTACAAGGAAAAGACGAAGGTATCAACATGTGGTATACTGTCAACTTGTTAACCGGTACATTAAATTTCAATACACAAGAAATTAAGTAACTCATTTGTCCGTCTTTGTGAAAAGGAAGCCTACATATTTAAACGATTATTATAATTGCAGATACTCTTGAACAAACAAATCCAATGTCATCACTAGAAATGGGCGGAGCCTCAGCCCAGGTGACGTTTGTGTTGCATCCTGGTGAGATTTCTAATTATTTATCAAAAGACGTTTATGTGAGACCTGCCGTCACCAATCGTACACTTTTCTCTCGTAGGTAAGATTTACATTTCCTTACTTACGACATAAAGGATATACACGGTAGGTACTTATCAGTCATTCTGAAAGCCCTGAAGTACTACCTGATTTTTTTTTGTTTCACATAAATGAAATTTCATACAAAGAAATGATTTTCATTTTGAAAAACAGAATTTGATTTGAGTCTATAAACTGTAGATATGTAGACATATACACATATTAAACCAATTTCAGCTACCTCGGGCAGGGTATTAGCGCAGCTCGCCTTGGAACACTTCAGCTAGAAGCTGGTAATATCAAGACAAAAAAATTCATTTCTGTCTGTGCAGACCCTGTACTGACAAAATTTGAAGAGAATTTTTTCGGTGAAAAAGTAGAAATCAGGTAATTTTTGTAGACGACAATGCATGAACTGTGAAATTTCCGACGTTTTAATATTCTGGCAAATTATCGGCATGGAAAACTATAACTATACGAGTACAGGAACCCTCGGGTACGGGACTTCGGTGTCCATTTGTATGGTATGGCTGCTTTTCTTTGAAACATGCATTCTTCTATGGACTTGAAATTTAGCATGGCGTCCATCTTAGTTGACCACATTTATGGTGTAAGAATTTTGTAATCAAGTACTGGACGGCCTTGACACGTCTGCGAGGTTATTCAGGATTCCACACATCGCTGAATTCACGAAAAAAATCTTATCTATCTCGATAGAATTGGCTACTCTCTCGACTGACCACTGTCGTCATTTGTCGTTTTTCATTTTAATTTTTCAACCATTACTGTCCCACTGAAGGGCAAAGGCCTCCTCTGTTTCCACCTTTCCCGATTTAACGCCGTTACAGGCCAAGACCTCATAAACGCATCCAATTGTTCACGCTATCTTATTCTGGGTCTTCCTCGGCTTCGTCTCGCGTTTGACGGGTACAAACTCCACGACGGTCTTTGTCCACAGCTCGTTTACATGCGGCAGTCGTGTCCAGCCCAGTTCCGTTTTAAGCTCGCGGCTTTATGTCCAACGTCAACGATTTGTGTTTTGGAGCGCAGTATGCTGTTTCACACGCGGTCTGCCAGTTTTACTTTCAAGATACTACGCTCCATGCTTCGCTGACACACCCCTAATGTGAACTTCTGACATTTCGTCAAAAACCAAAATTGAGCACTGTAAGTAAGAACGGGAAGAATGCGCACGTCCATGAGCTTTCTTTTGAGGGATAGTGGTAATTTTCCTTTCATCAGTCCGTACTAGAGATACTATTTGGCCAAGATAAATGTACTCCTGGACATACTCAACCCCTATACCTCCCAGCTTTTATTTATTTTGAAATAAAACTACACGTTATAAGTGGAACCTATAAATTAATCTTAATTTTTGCATCAGTGGTGTTTCTCGCGAGGGTTACTCTATAAAAGAAGTATATTTACGATGCCGGAAGTTCGTGACGGCGTACATCAAAGCGACAATGGGAAACGTCTTGCAACTAAAAGGACTAAGGAAAATCGCAGCTATGGGATATTATTATCAATTTGCTAACGACGAAGGACTTATTCGTAAGATATTGGTTTTGACAGGATATCTAAAGGTGTCTACAGATTTGCTCGAATTTCGACGATCCTTACTGTCACTTATTAGTGATCGATAAACACAAAATAGAAGGTCAAATTGTCAAATTTATGGGCTACTACCCCTAATTTAGTTCGACAAAAATCGTCTGTTGCTTACACATCGTACGTGCTGATCGTCAAAAAAATTCGAGTAAATCTGCAGGCACCTTAATTCAAAACGGTGAAATATAACTTCGGTAGCGCTAGCTAGCGGTAGTTTTACGAACTTTTAGGAAAGTTGTACATTTTTTATTCAATTTCAATTTAAGTTAAATAAAAGCGCATGTTTGCAAATTTATATTTCAGCAAAGTTCAATTTGTATTAACTAACCGGCCGGATAACAATTCCAAATTTTTTTTTACCAGTCCGGCCACTCAGAACGGATGCGGGCGCAGACCGCGGTGGTAGTGATGAAAGAGACTCAGTCTTTTAAGGCGTTTTATAACAACTCGACTCCATTTTACAGGACTCGGCTCTAAAATTAAGACTGGGGATTCGGGTTTTTATTAATAAGGCTCAGTCGTTATACTAAAAGACTTAAACGACTTGAAAGACTTAAACGACTCGAGTTGTTTGCAAGGGACTTATATCTATTTTATGTCTTATTAAACCCGTAGTTCATAAATAAAAATGACGTAAGTAGTATGTAGTCAATAATCACGTTTATTTACTTCTAATAAAAATCGTAAAATAAATACCTTGAGGGTAGAAATAAAATCACGCCACACGGGTCATGACTCGCGACTCCCGAGGCTATAAAGCGCCAGTCGTTTTAGTCTTTTTAATCATTTTAGTCCTATAAGTCTTTTAAGCTTCCTAGGGTTAAAAGACTTCGACTCGAATTAGTCTTCAGGGTTAAAAAACTAGACTAGTCGTGAGGCGTTGAAAATTAGTCGAGGCTTTTTAAGCCTTAAAAGACTGATTCTCATTTATCACTAGGCGGTGGTTACAAGCAGAACCCTCGTTTGCTTCATTCTTGTTAAAGTCATGCGCAGAATTGCACACTACACTCATCTTTGCAATGTAAAGTTCTGAGTGGCAATGCAACTGTTACGGACAGGCGTATCGCTTACCAACTGGCCCACGATTAGTTCGTCCTGTCACTTAATATTATAAAAAAGACCCAGATGGACCCAATGCGGATAGGGAACCTAACACATATCATTTAAATGCTTTGCAGCATGTATACATGACTTTCCTTACGAAGTTTTCCTTCATCAGTTTTCTTAAACATTATTTATAAGAAAACTAAGACTTAAAATGCTAATATTACAGCTCGTGACAAAAACGGCCATGTAACAATTCAAAATCTGTTGGCACATGCTGTAAGTCCAACTGGTGGATGCGCTACACACGATAAGCAAAATCCATGGCGATGTTTCGACGCCATTTTTATAGTAACATTGTTGCAATATGGATACGGGATTGACAAAAATAGTATAATTCATGTAAGTGATTCTAGCTTATTTACTTTTCCGTTCTGACATACGACTTGAAAGTCGTTTGTTTAAAAAATCTTGAATTTAATAATCACTGACATTTATAAAACGCACTTTGACTTCGACTAAAGGTGCCTACAAATTGCTCGATTTTTGACGATCGACAAGAGTCGAGACAATCGATATAGTGTCGATCGTCAAAAAATCGAGCAATTCAATGCGTAGGGGAAAGGTGTACCAGATGATCCCCTTAAGGGAGAATGGTGGTAGTTTAAAAGATATTCAGCTTAAAGCAGGGGTAAAAGCGTTAAATGATAGAAAATTTATCTATTACATGTTGTCTTACTAAAAACGTTTTATTTTTTGATCTTTCATTATTATAATTGAATATTTTTAAAACCCTACGAAAGGTTCGTCTTGGACACCGGGGTGTCCATCCTAAGGGTATGGGCAAGATGATCCAGGGGATCACCTTGCCTCTATTTAGGAAAATTTCTAGGTTTTGGTAGAAACAAATGAAAACAACAACTTTTTAGACTTAACAAAGTCCTCACTTATGTAATCTAGGTATATGAAACAACAGTTACGGAACTTCGAGAACAAATAATCCTAATTAATTTATATCTTACAAGTATCTAAGGGTGGCCGATATTATTATTTATGGCAAGTTGATATCCATACTCGTGTCCATTTCTTTAATGTACTTTACGAGTTCGATTTCCTGTTTAACACATCTGATGAAAACAGTTTTTTTTTTCACCTAAATATTTAATTGAACTGACGACCCTTTATTTTCACCTTTAGCCCGTCTTTTTAATGACATAACGCGTATCTACTGCTAACTATTTACTTGACGATTTATGTGGCGTCCTACTTTTACGCCTCTAGTTCTTTAGATCATAGCCTTCCGACCACCCACCACGAATGGCTTTTACAATTACGCGGCCTGGTCTAAAACAAGAAAAAGCATTTATATTTGTTATTAATCGAGATCGATCATGTAAACGAAATCCAGTCTTCTACTATTTTATTCGTATTGCAAGCTATTTATTTAAGAGGTTTCAGTACTCAGAAAAACATATAAATTAAATATGGTCCATTAACAATAATAACCTGTTTGTTGTCTACTGTTAGCACGCCATTAAAAAAAGTAAATAGAGCATTATACAAAGCCACCAACACAAAAATCTTAGCAATTGATTTTTTAGAATGGAAGTTGTCTAAGCTTTTAATCAACTTTACCTTAGATCAAACTCACACAATTTTTGTTTTTTCCCACAAAAATGAAGTCGTCACTCATATCGCTATTACTAATTGACTGATGAGAGGGCACATTGAGGGCTACTTTTACTGAAGAAAATATCTAAATGACGTTACTAGTTTCGCTACAATTGAAAAGGATCATCTTACCTCCAAGGATCACCTCGTACAACTTTCCCATACCTTAAGCAAAAATGGAGAGCTCAGTAAATTTTTCCTATTTACAAAACTAATTGTTTACTACGCTTGAACACAAGACGCAAAATGCACGACTTCGTTTTTTTTTTTAAAGAAATTAGTGACTGGGGTTTTTAATTGTCCAGATTAAGTAAATTTTAGTTCAGCGCTCCAACTCGACCACAGAGAAATCATAATAGGAAGTTATTTTGCATTCCAAAACATCATACTAATCTCAGATTGCACTGTCCCCTCTCTCGGATGTATACTTTACATGCAATATTACAATTCAGCAGATTTGGCTACTGTCTGTGAACTTACTTAAACGACTTGTATGGCACTAATAGTTATCTATTTAAAAAAATAGATTCTCTTTTCTCTCTTACTAAGTATTATTTAATAAGTATTTTTTAATAGAATGTTAACATTATGTAAAAATAAATAAACAGATTATTGTGCGTGCGGTGTTCACCTCTAAGTAATGGGGCATTTCTCAATACAATTCGATAAGTTCGATTTAATTTCTTGCTTGTACTCGTACTTAGACAAAGTCATTTTTGCAAATACGAAAAACTTGCTTAGTTGTCGTAGCAGTAGATCTCCTTGTGCAAGAGTTCGTCCAGATTACTGCCATCTTATCTACTTCTGCCGCCAAGCGATAATGTACACATTACTGCGTTTATGTAATTACAGGCACATGGGACTTATCAACTTATGTCCCAGGGTGACGTACGCAGTGGCAGCGTCCATCAGATCTTTATGATTTAAAGCTCTGAGTGGCACTGCAACTGTTATGGACAGGCGTGTCGTTTACTACCACGACTTATTCGTCCCGTCACTCGGTATCTAAAAAAAATCAGCCTTAAAATGGGCGACTGTCAGGTCGCATGTCTAAGGACATAATTCACGAACAGTTGACGAGAAAGTAATTGTTTCATGAAAGAAAAATGCAAACATTGTTATTTTCAGTTATACGACACAATTGACAATTATAACGTAGAATGGACTCTGGGAGTTGCTTACAACTACGTCATGGCGGAGATTACAACAAACCCGGACCTTATCCACGTGCATCATTATCTACGAAAAATATTGTCGAAAATGAGAAAATAAAACAGATTTGTATTTTAATTGAGCTGATGACAAAAGGAATCCTCCTATTCTACATTTTGTATAGGCACGAATAGTAATACTAGTGTAGTAACCCTTATACAAAGCACTTCGTGCATAATTATCCACGAAAAATTTTGTCCAAAATGAGAAAATAAAACAGATTTGTACTTCAGTTGAGTTGATGTAAAGAAACACGCATCTGTTCTACACATTGTATAAGCACGAACGTAATAGTAATATGGTAACCCTAATACAATGTACTTCGTATATCCATTATCTACGAAAAATATTGTCCGAAATGAGAAAATATAACCGATTTTGCTTCAGTTGAGTTCTTCGTGCATAATTATCTACGAAAAATTATTGACAAGAATGAGAAAATAAAACTTATTTGTACTTCAGTTGAATTAATGAAAGAAGCACATACTTATTCTAATATATTCAGGCACGTAGGTAATGCAGGTGTGATAACACTTGTACAATGCACTTCAAGGTGAAACCATTACTGTGTTGCTAATCTTATTTTATGGTTTATAATGGTACACGACATTTTTATCTATAGTAAACAATGTCATGAGAATGTCAGCCAACGAGCCGTGGACTGCAATGTGCGTCTCTCCGTGGCGCTACTTTCTCCGTTTTGCCTCTACGTTGCTGTACGCTGTTATACATGAGTTGCGAGATTCTCCGGTGATATCAAGTAAATCCATTTAAGGCTCCGGAGGAGAAGCAGAAAAAACTGTTTTGCTAGGTCAACTGGTTTAGGTATTTACTATTAAATAATGATCTTAAAAAAAATGCACCATACCTCTAAGGATGTTATGCCTCGAGTGTGCTAATGGGTTACATGTTAGGATGTACTTTATCCGAGATCCTGTAAACAGGCTAAAGTAAGCTCTAAAACGAATTATTTATGAATAAAATATCTAACTTTTTACCTACATAATTTTTATATGGAGATATTTGTCTTTAAGTACTAGAGAGAACCTGCTAAATTAAGGTGTTCAACTGAAGTCCTTTTAGTTATTAAATTCGCATATATCTTAAAATTTGCAAATTGCTCAGCGATCTAACGTCACACTGCGCCGCCGCCCCGTCAGTCGCCATCAAGCGCTTGTCGATGACGAATCTGTGTCAAACTTTCTCCGCCTGTTCTTATTTTATTGCGGGGCGGGTGGTGTGACCCCCCCACACTTCCCCTCCTAAAATCTAGGCTCGTATTAAAATATCTCGCCTTCACAAACGGTGGACAGCCTTAGACCTTAGGTATTTCCGCACTGCTACTTCACATTCGTTTTATCTTCACTTTGTCTAAATTACGCCGCTGTAACTAATATTGATGCGACATTCTTCTATATTCCCTGAACGCTACAACTTAGGCATTTTCAAGGCGAATAGGCATTATTTTGGAGTGCATGCTCCATTGTCGACCTCATCGTCATTTTTCATCGTGAGATGGAACACAAATGCGCACTTATTATATCATAATCATAACAAAAAAAGATAGGAAATGAAACTATTTTTCCGGAAAAATCCGGAAAAATAGTTTCATTTCCTATGTGTAATTATCGCGAAAACCTAAGAACACGATAAAAAAAAAGATATTATAAAAAATAATATATATTTATTTGACTACCACAAATGACGCCACGCAACAAAAAAAAACAGAAAAAAAATATATTAAAAACATAATCAAAACATTCACATGTAAGAAACAAATGAACAATTACAAAACCAAATAAAAACTGAGTTAAATTAAAACACAGGTTATTTACATAAATAAGCAAAGACAATAGTGACCATGGGACCTGTAAAGGGCCCGAAACGTCGGTTTGT